GCTGGGCACTTCTGGAGAAAGTTCCTGTTTGCGCTACTCCCGCTGGCCCCAACAATCCTGCAACAGAAATGTCAACCTTCACCCACATGGGGCCCCCCTGCTTGCATCACTGGGTGCCCCAAGCACACGCCGTCCGCCTGGGTTAGGAGCCCTGCCTCTGGGGTGACATGGGGCAAGGAAGGGTCTGATGCCTGAGGTCTGACCCATCAGGAGTGCCCGGAAAGTGTTGGCAGATCAACGAACAATCAGTACGGGGAGGGAAGCCAGGGAAGGGTGGAAGGAAGGACGGACAGAGTGCGCAAGGAAAGGATAGACAAACGGAGAGGCCAATGCATTCATAGCCGCATCGACGCCTCCTGGTTCCTTTAAGTGATTCGTGCACTATATCTTGACCCCCAACGACACGTCAGCTTCTGCGCAAGTCACCGAGGGGCACGGCTGTGTCAGGAGCGGAGCCGACTGAGCCGGGGCGGGGGTGGGGTGGCCTCTTGCGGTCCTGCCGGCCAGGGGGCCCACTGCGTCAGGAGGGCTTCCACTCAGCGGCTCCGGGGCTCTCCGGTATCCGTATTTTAATGCTATATTTTTTGGAGGCATCACTGTTAGCACAGTTCAAGTTTTCTCAGGAAGCTACTTTTTGTTTTCTTTCACTCGGTGACATTTACCACGTTCTCGCGTTCCTCAGATATCGATATGCCGACAGGTCCAAACCTTTTCCATTGAGCACCTGTCCACTTTGACGAATAGAATCCACGTACAGAAATCAGCTTTGAAGCCACGTCGGCCAGAGTTTCTTGGTCCCAGGAAAGAGTGCCGGCTCCTGTATCACAGATGAGAAAGGAAGGCCCAACCACACCCAGGTCCTGCCCGACAGGGGAGCTGGGCCAGTGGGTGGGTCTCGGGCCCTGGGGGTGGCATGGGGGGTCTGAATCGGCGGCAAAAGAGGCTCCCCATCCCAGGACCTGTGGTATTTGCTGTGGCTGTGACTTCAACACAGTCTCAGACTGGGGGAGGTTGTGCCTTCCTTTAGGTGTGGATACAGCAGTGTCGAAGGGGGCTGTAAGAGAGGTTTAATGCCCTGGGAGAGGGGGACAGGAGGGGGAGAGGAGGCTATAATTCAAATGCTGTTTCTTTAAAAATTTTTTTTAATGTTTTTATTTATCTTTGAGACAGAGAGAGACAGAGCATGAGCAGGGGAGGGGCAGAGAGAGAGGGAGACACAGAATCCGAAGCAGGCTCCAGGCGCCGAGCTGTCAGCACAGAGCCCGACACGGGGCTCGAACTCACAGACCGCGAGATCGTGACCTGAGCGGAAGTCGGACGCTTAACCGACTGCGCCACCCAGGCGCCCCGGCCACTACATTTTAAAATAAGCACTAAATGTGAGGGAAAGAGAGCCAGAGAGCAGCCTTTAAATAAATAACAGCTAGGTATTTATCTCTCCTTCGCTAACGATATCTTTGCCAGTCCTCACATTAACTCATTTGGAGCTTACAGCGTTCCTTTCGCTGTTTTACAAATAAGGAAACTGAGGCTCAAAGAAGGCTTCCCTCTTCCACTCTGGTAATGGCCTCTGCCAATCTCCCAAAAAGGGGCTGGGAGGTACCCCTTTTTTTGGAATAACGATCGAAGTAGGGGACAAACAGGTCTCGATGATGCAGAATGCCTTGGGGGGTGGGGGATGATGTGTGTGCTAGCATATTCTAACAAAAGTATTGAACTGCCTCAGGTGTCCCTGAGTTCCAGTCTTGGCTCGGCCAGGAACCAGTGGCTTCCCCCAACCCAAGTATTCACAGCCCTTCCTCTCCCGGGTTTGTTAGGGCAGCTTTTACTTTCTAAGGAAGATTTTTCACCACCACCCAGAAGTTTCTGTAATTACAAAGAACTCGACAGCGGGGAGGGGGCAGGGGATTTGGGAGGGGCATGAGGAGGTACTTATGTACTTAAGAAGGCATGTTTGACATTGTAACGTAAATTTCTACCCATAAAGTGAAAAGAAAAACCTCTGTTTTCATCCTGTAAAGACTGGAAGTGAACGAGAACCAGATTTTTCTTGGCCGTTGGGACGCGCGCGTTTAGAAACAACGAAAATCTCTCATTTGCCACAGGTGCACTCCGGACGAGCCAAGGGCGGCCCCAGAAAAAGCATTTAGGGCAGTTGAAACGATCCCAGTTAACATCACAAGCCAAGCTCTGCTGGTCACCTGGGCCTGAGACCCCTGGGGCCCCGGGCGGCCTGGGCACCGCAGCGAGGACGCCTAGATTCTTGTTCCAAATGCCCCTCCCCTCGGCGAATGAAATCTCAGCCGGGGTGGGTCACCTGGTTCAGTCACCACCAGAAGAATCCGCATCATCCCATCCCAGCACATTGGGGGCTGCGTGGTGTCCCCAGCAGGGGGACCTCACCTTCTCCCGGCAGCCCTCACCTGGAGCGTTGGCCGCAGCGCCCCCTGCTGGCCAGCACCGCCTTCCCTCTGCCCCTCTTGGCTTCACCAGGGGTACCCGCAGACCTGCCGGGGCTCCCGCCCAGCCCACCTGGGTGCAAACACTTGCGGCCTGTCTGGACAAGCCTCAGTTTCCCCAGATGCAGCGTGGGTTCGTCACGCAAACTTTCCGATGAACTGCGTGGCGCACAGCAGAGACTTGGTGGATGGCCGCCACTCTTCACGAACCACGTCCCCGGTACTTTATGTCCACTCTCCCAGGCGACCCCAGGACAAAGCTCAGAGCGGCCACGTGGAGGCAACAGGCCCAGCAGGTCCCTGACCAGTCCAGGGAGTGGCCGGGCACGGATCTGTGGCGAAGACGGTCCCACCCTGGAGCCCACGCCCCTGCTCGGAGGCCACAGCACCTCTCAGAGACCGGGCCTGGCCCGGATTTACAAGCTTGATGGCCTGGGTTCCAATTCCAGGTCCACTACTCACCGGATGCCTGCCACTTTTCTGAGGCTCTCGTCTCCTATCTGTTCCAGGAGGCGGGGACAGAATACCGTGGACGCTCTTAGAGGGGGTTAAGCCGAGAACTCCCACACTGTGCTTCGAGCAGGGCCTGGGCATAGGAAGCTGATGCCTCGACCGCCTTCCTGAACTCCGTGATCACTGTGGCCGGTCTTCCCACCGTGGCCCTAGGAGGGGCAGCAGAGGAGTGGGGGGTGGAGCCAGAGGCTGGTACCCCCCCAGACCGATTCGGGGGGCACTCCCCCCCCCCAACGCAGCCTCTGCCGTCCTCCCCTCTGCCCCGCATTTATCCAGGATCTTTAAAACGAAAGCTGCAGGGGAGGGCAATTAAGTTTCATAGGGGCCGCTGTCGATTTAAGGCCACAGGGGGGAAGTAATTAGATTTAACAGAAGCCGTGGCTTTCTGAACCGAGGCACGCAGCGTGGGGGTCCTGGTCTAGAGAGCCTTTGAGATGATGTCTTCTTGCAAAGCCTCTCCTGGTGACATTTTCTGCGCGCGCCGTCATTAACGCCAGTCATTGGGGATTGAACATGGCCTTTACTCGTTGAAATTCATTAAGCCTGGCATGGCTTTGCCTCCCCGTGTCTCTATCGTTTGCCCGCCCATTGCCTTGGTGCTGAGACAGCCCGGCCTCTCCCCAAAACTGGCGTCCTGGGGCCCCACACCCAGGAGCGTGGGGGTTTGGAGAGGAAACCGGGAAGCATGTGCGGAAGGGTCCCCGAGAGCACCCTCTCCTTCCCGCCGTGGCATTCTCTGGACGCTGTCGTCCCTTCTACAAGCATCGTTAGAGAAAGTCTGCAGTTTGCAGGAACCGCTTAACCAAGGGGCCCCAATTTCCCCTTCTGGTGCCCGCCCCCGTCCCAGCGGCGCCCCTCACCGCTGTTCTCCCCCCTCGCCTTCCTCCGACCGCGTTGTTCTCCCCTGGCCCCCCAAGACGGCGCGCCCTGGCACCGGAGAAGGGCTCGGGGACCCGAGGACCGGATCAAGGACAAAAGGCACCCCAAACGCAGAGGGGCCTCCCTGCGCGGCGCCTGGCCCGAGCCGGGAAGCCCGAGTTTCCCCGCCCGCAGCTGGCAGGCCCCCGCGGAGGCGCCTCCGCGGCGACCGCTTCAGCTCCGGGCACCGCCGCCGCCGGCCCAGGCCGGCCCAGAGGCCGAAACCGGGCCCGAAGCGCCATCTAGCGCTCGCCGCGCGCCACTCCCCCATTGTTCCTCCCGGGACTCGAGCCCGGCCCCCCGTCGGGGGGCAATTTACCGGGGTAAAAGGGGGCGGGAGGGGGGCAGGGATCGCGAGAACATAAAACCAGGAAAACGTGAGCTAGTCCGAGCTGCAGGGGGAAATTCTAATGGACAGCTTTACATCTGGAGATATGACGGCTAGGACCGTCGCGGGAGGGAGCGGAGAGCAGGCTTTTAAGGGGAGAGCGCTCCACAGCCCAGGCGAGACTGCTCCAGACCGGGAGCGAGGGATGCAAAACTCAGCTGGTCACGGGGTTCGGGCTCCCCGCTCCTGCTAACGCCCCGAGACGAGCGCGTTCCCCGGGGGAGCCGGGGGCCCGGGGGCGGGGCCGGGGGGTCTCCTTTATTGCTTTATAAAACCAAACTCGCCCAGCCAAGAGCGACCTGGCCCCCGGCCCCGCCATCGCGCTGCGAGGAGGAGCTCCCCCGAACCCTCCGGTGAAGCGGGGCTACTCCTCCCCCAGGTCCGGGAGGCCTGGGCGGGGTCACCCGGGCGGGGTCCGGGGAGGGGCTGGGGCAGGAGGCGGGGTGTGAGTGGGTGTGTGCGGGGGGCGGAGGGCTGATGCAATCCTGATAAGAAATGCTCGGGAGTCGCGGGCACCCACCCGCCGGGCGGGTAAGACGCGCTATATAAGGTCGCTGGCCTGGAGCCACCGCGCCGTCGGAGCAGGAGCGCTGAGCGCCCAGGCGCCCGGAGCGCACCGTTGCTCGAGGGACGCACCCCGTCTCGGCACGCACAGCCCTGCTACCGCCCAGCCTCCCGCACCCTCGCCGCCAGAACTGCGCGCCGAGCCCGAGGGAGGTGCCATGCGGAGCGCGCCGAGCCAGTGCGCGGTAACCCGCGCCCTGGTCCTAGCCGGTCTCTGGCTGGCAGCAGCCGGGCGCCCCCTAGCCTTCTCGGACGCGGGGCCTCACGTGCACTACGGCTGGGGTGAGCCCATCCGCCTGCGGCACCTGTACACCGCCGGCCCCCACGGCCTCTCCAGCTGCTTCCTGCGCATCCGAGCCGACGGGGGGGTTGACTGCGCGCGGAGCCAGAGCGCGCACAGTGAGTGCCCATCCGCCCCGGGGCCCCTTCTTCCCTTTACGTCCTGCGGGGACCCTACATCGTGGCACCTCTGCGTTTTGCTCCCTGCCGGGGGTCCCTGACGGCGCGGGGAGGTGGGGGATGAGGGCACCGGCACGTGGACCCAGCGCAGCCACGCGTTATCCTTCACTCGCCACCTTCGGTTCCCGCACACCCCCCCCCCCCCCCCCGCTCCCAGGAACCTGGGTGCTCCATTCCCTCCCCAGGGTCCCAGCCTGCACGCGGAGGTGGAGCGGGGAGGGCGTGGGCCCGTGCGCCGACCGCATCCACGTGCTGTGGGCCCAGAGGGTCCCGGCTACAGCCTTCTGCTTCCCTCACGCTCAGGTTTGGTGGAGATCAGGGCAGTCGCTCTGCGGACCGTGGCCATCAAGGGCGTGCACAGCGTCCGGTACCTCTGCATGGGCGCCGACGGCAGGGTGCAAGGGCTGGTAAGTGTCTCCCCCCGGGGGTACGCGCTGGGGCGCGGGACCTGCGCCGGTGCCCAGGCGGAGCCTTGCTGGGAGAGGGGGGCGGTGCGCGCTGAATCGAATCCAGGGTTTCCTCGCTCTGGCCGCCGGGTCCGGCACGGAGCTCGGAAGGGAGGACGGCAAAGGGCCAGATTAATGGAACGTGCGAATTCTTTTCCACGGAGGTTTACGGTCCTGGCTAGTGGCCACAGGGCGGATGAGAGCTGCCTTTGCATTTCCAGTTGAGCCGCAGGCCGGCCCAGTAGGACGGAGGGAACGCGGGACCCGGCTTGCTTTGATATTAAACAGTGAAACCCACCTCGGGCCTTTGCAGCCTCGGCCTGCGCGTGGGTGGTCCTCGCCTCCGTTTCCTTCCCTACGCCGAGAAATAAAAGGGAGGAACGAGAAAGGATATTCACAACTTGGATCTTTTTTTAAAAAGCCAGTCTTCAAATGAGGCAGGAATAAAAAAAAATCACATCTGGGATTGGAAAGGTTTTCAGCTAATCAGTTTTTATCTGCTAGCAGCGTGGTTTCGGCGGACGCCTTGGAAGCCAGTTCCAGTGGCGTGTTGGCCCCGGTGTGGGCTCACCTGTACTGCAGAGGCTTTGGGGGGGAGGGCGCTGGGGGGAACGGGCTGGGAAGGCCCAGGTGACCATCGGGGTCTCGGGGCAGGAAGTGTGCGTTTGCTGGGTCCTGGTCTCTGGGAACAAAGGCGGGGGAGTTCAAAGGGAGCCCGCGCCCCTCCCGCGCCCCCGGGCGCACAGAAGAGGCTGTGTGAGGTCCCGGCCGGGCGCTGGGCCTCAATGCAGCCCCGCTGGGCCGGGGCCTCGGACGCTGGAGCGGGGCGGAGGGGGGCGGGGAGGCCGCGCCTCCCGGGATGCCCCCGCCCCCCAGAAAAGATGCAGAGGCCGGGCCTCCCCCGCAGCGCGAATCTTTCTGGGGTCCGCCTTGTTTTGTGGCCCCGAGGCCAGTGTATTCCATCTACACCCAGAGTGCCTGCTTCAGGTTTTATGGCGGAGTCCTGCGGGAAAGCACGAGAGTGGAGGGAAAGTAGGGAGGTGGTCGCTTGCTGAAAGCTGACACCCACTCCAAACCCGCAGTTGCCACTTTTGTTATTGCGACAGTTGGGGGGCGGGGGTGGCGGGGAGTAGTGGCCTGAGGACCCGGGGGCGCAGATGGGTCCACCCACCTTCAGTCCAAGCTCGGGGGATGGGGGGGGCGGGGGTGGGGGAGGGATGCCCCTTGACCGAAAATCCTGTTCTGCCTCTTGATCCCTTGTTTTTGTTTTATTTTTATTTTTATTTTTTAAGACAAATTCCGCTTTCTCCAAGAAACTTGAAGTCACTTCATTTTCTGTGCGGAGTAGAGCGCGGGGCGTGAGTTCCGCCCAAAGACCCAGCAGCGATCGCTTTTCCTTCCCTTGTTTATTTATCGGTTCGCATCTCCCCCGACGTCTGGTGGCTCTGTCCCAGTGCACGGGTCAGGGGGGGCCAGGACCTGTTGCTTCATTAGACTTGAGCCTTATCAGCGCCTTATCAGCACCGCACTCACTCACCTGCAGTTCAGCGACCTTTGTAGGCTTGGGCACGAAGGAGACTGGGACTGGGTGCCTCCCGGGGTTGTTTACCGCCCAGCCCTCCTGGCTCCCTGCCTGGGGCTGTCCTCCGCGTCCCCCACAGGGTAATGACCTTCCCCAGCTTGGCACAGGACTTGGCCCACCGCTGCCTCTCAGCTACCAGTGTTCTGGGACCCCGGGGGCTGCTTTCTGCCCTTCCGGTGGCATTTCCGGCCACCCGCTGGGTGCAGGCTCTGTCTTGGGCCAGGGGGGAGGGGGCTGCCTTTATCCTGATAATCCTGGCAGGCTGCCTGGAAGGCCCTCCGCCTCTGAATGAGGGAGCCCTGATGCTTCCTACCAGGGCATCAGACAAAAAGGCCTCTGGGTCGCCCGCTGTTACTCAGGCCTCAGTGGGGAGTAGATGCTTTAATCTGGGCCCCAGGTTGGATTGGGACAGCACATCCACTTTAGCAGTGTCTCCCAAAGTGCCGGTGGATGCCCGGAACCTTTTGATGTTAATAGTTGTGCATTTAACGTAAAGGGTGAGGGGCCCAGTATACATATTGCACCTCCGATTTTGTGCATATCAGAACAAGACCAAGTTTAAGTGACGTGATTTAGAGAGAGAGCCAAAGACCCATGTAACGTATGTACAGATATTGAGTATATACGTGACACGTATTCCTGGAGTCTGTGTGTGTCGAAAAGTTATAAAGGTATATAAAACATCTATATGTATAAATTTATAAAGTATATATGATATGTTCTATATTTAACACATACTGTTGTAATTGTTCACATTTATTTTTTTTTAAATTTTTTTAGTGTTTATTATTTTGAGGGGAGGGAGACACAGAATCCGAAGCGGGCTCCAGACTCCGAGCTGGCAGCCCGACGCGGGGCTCGAACTCATGAGCCGTGAGATCACGATCTGAGCCGAAGTCGGACGCTTCACCGACGGAGCCACCCAGGCGCCCCCTGATTTTTCACATTTATATATTAGTATACGCTCACTGTGTATAGTCATTAGTATAATGCATACCTTAATAATACAAGTATATATTTGCATACATAATCATGGACTTTAGACACCTTCGTGCTTTATGTAACCTCTAACTCTACGTGCAGATACATACGACCATCACGCAGACCCAAGTGGGAGTATGCACCACAAGTGCTCGCCTGTGCCCGGTTTCCCTGCTCCTTCTGGGGGTGGCACCCCCAGGGGGCACCCACGGGTGCTCACGGCTGTCTCTTTTCTCCCCAGCTTCAGTACTCTGCTGGGGACTGTGCCTTCCAAGAGGAGATCCGCCCCGACGGCTACAACGTGTACCGGTCCGAGAAGCACCGTCTCCCCGTCTCTTTGAGTAGTGCCATACAGAGGCAGCTGTACAAGGGCAGAGGGTTTTTGCCCCTGTCCCATTTCTTGCCCATGCTGCCCGGCAGCCCAGCAGAGCCCAGGGACCTCCAGGACCACGTGGAGTCGGAGAGGTTTTCTTCACCCCTGGAAACAGACAGCATGGACCCTTTTGGGATTGCCACCAAAATGGGGTTAGTGAAGAGTCCCAGCTTCCAAAAGTAACTGAGGCTCTGGCCTCCCTCCCTCCCTCCCTCCCTCCCCCGCCTGTAGAAGCCAGGACCCCAGACCTGGCGTGTTTGCAAACTGGGTTCCGGCTGTGCTTCTACAAGTACAACCCTGTTCCTTTTAGCTTTAGGAAGAAACGTAGAGAACTTGTACGTAAACAGAGTTTTACATTGGCTGTGCCAGCTCTTAGCGGATAGACTTGCATGATCGTGAAATTGTAAGCCCTCCCGCACCCAGCACCTTCACCATTGCTGGATGATTGGCTGAGGGGCCCTGAAACTGCTTGAATATCTCCACGGACCTGGGAGCTCACTACCTTTGGGAAGGTACATACCGCCAAGCTGAAATTTCCTGCAGTTCTCCGTGGTCTCCGGGGGGGGGGGGGGGGGGGGGGGGGGGCCGCGCCTGGGCCGGGCCAGAAGAAAAGACGCCATTTAGAACTCATGTACGGGTGATCAGCTTTGTGAAACCTTGGGAAAATTGGACTCCACCACAGGAGAATTGATGGAAGGTGGCAACTCCAAGGAGGTTCATTGACTCTCCCCCACCACCCCCCCCCCCCCCCCGCCCCAGGACAGAACCGACCGATGGCCCGCCAGGCTTCAGGAACAGGGGGAGCCCACAGGCCGCCTCCAGCCTGGGTAAATCTTGAGAACTCCCGACTACGGCTGGTTCTGGGACAGATCACCGTCACCAGACTCCTTGGCAATCTGCCCAGGGCACACTGGGAAGTCACTTGCTGCCCCCTCGGACGGCCAGCGCCCTGCACGAACCCACCGCGTGCCGGGGCTCAGACTGGTTCCCCCCAGTGCACGGCCACCTGGCCACCTGCTCAGAGGGACGGGACGCGAGGACAGTGCCGGCAGCCCTTGCCGTGACGATGCGGGTTTCCACGGGATCCCGTCTGCTTGGGTCACGTGGGTTTCCCACGAGCGCCCCTCGGGACGGAAACCCACAGGCCTACCCCCTTCCCGCTCCCACACACGATGCCGTGGCTCTGGCGTTCTCTGCCCCCTTAAGCGCCGTGGGTACGGACCAGAGAGGAACCCACACCATCTTCTGGGGCTGCTTCCGGTTCCCCAGCCCCGTGCCGGCTCCACGTCTTGCCGTGCCACGGGACTCGACGTGCCACGGGACTCGACGGCCTCCCTCCTTAGGCAGACCGGCACATTTCATTCAAAGAGCCAGAGGAGGTTGGACTCGCAGCCCCGGATCTCGGCCAGTCACCTGCGGAAGCAGCCGGGGAGAGGGGGCCTTTTCCCCAGCACTTAGTTTCCCACGCGGTATTTATGAGTAATTTATTTTGTTTGATATGTACATCTCTTTATTTTCTTACTTTATTTATACCGCCCCCCAAGTTGTATTTATGACGTACGTGAGTTTTGTTTTCTACATTAAAGCACAATTTGTACCAGAAGTTACATTTCGTTAGCCACCTGGGTGTCTGTGAGGAAGAGCGGGGGGCCGGGAAGGGAAGCGATCCCGGCGCTGGGCTCAGAGGACACGCTTCGTGCAGGGGCTACGTTTAAAACTGCACTTGGTACGGGAGCTCCTGGGTCACTGTCACCGTCCCCTAAGCTGAGGCTCGGGTGGGTTGAACAATAGGTTAAACCCAGAGGTGGAGGCTGGTTGGAGCCGGCTTCCCTTCCTGCCTGGGTGCCAGCCTCCTACACATTAGGGCAGCCACGGCGTAGGAGTGTGTGTGTGTGTGTGTGTGTGTGTTCAGATGCCTGAAACAAGCCCCAACTAGCAGTGGCCTGACTGTGTCTCACCCGCAGCATATTGACATTCGTGGCCACAGTATTCTCTGTCGGGGGCGGGGGCTCCTGAGTGCTTAGATGACGAACAGGGACCCTGGTCTCCAGCCTCTAGATGTCAGCAGCAACCCCTCATTAGACAGCCAAAAGCTGAAAGCAGTTAGCGGCATGTCTGGGGGCAAAATTCCCCTACTAGCCGTTCATCCTGGAGCAAATCCTCGACCTCTCTGAGCCTCGATTTCCCCACCTGTAAAATGGAACGAGGACGGGGAGAGCGTCGAGGAGGGGAACAGCCACGTGGTGGTGCCTGATGGGAACAAGGGTCCAGTTCAGTCCTTCAGCCCGGAGTTACTGGGCGGGTTATGTCGGCCGTTGCTGCCATGAAGATCGTGGTTAAAGTCTACCGACGCCTCTCACGCCCCTGGCGAAGGGTCCTCACTCTTGAACGTGACAATGTGGGCTGGACGACGCCCGCTGTGACCAGCAGGTAGCATCGTCTACCCCCTGGTTCCACAGGTGAGGGAGGACAGGACCAGCGAGGGAGGGCACTCATCCGAAGCCGCACAGACCGGAAGCAGCATGGCAGAAGAGCTGTGGGGTCAGGCCGTGAGCCCCCCGCTGTGTCACCTCCAGGAAGTCCGGTCAACCCTCAGCCTGCATCCTGGTGTGGCCGGTGAGATGAACCATGTCTGCACTGCGGGACTGTGGGGAGAATCGAATGGAATTATGTCTGCAAGATGCCTGGTATACAGTGGGCTGCCAGCCCACAGCAGCCCTCACCAGGACTAGAACTCTTGGCCCTGGACGATGATTTCCACTGGCTCTTAAATCTGGTTGCACGTTGAAATCACCCAGGGAAAAATACGACAGCTGGGCCCCATCCTCAGAGGTCCTGGTTGAACTGGAATGGGTGTGGCCTGGACATTAGGACTCTGTAAAGCTCCCCGGTGATTCAAAATGTGCAGCCGAGGATGAGAGCCACAGGAAGACAGTTTCCATTTGATCCTTTGTGCTCTGGAGACCAATGCTTCAGGGGGAAAATGATGTGGAGTGTCCTCCCTGCAGCACTGCTGACAATGATGAGTAAATGCACAGCTTTGTAAACTAATTCACACTAGAGTGTTGATGGTTGGTACATTTTCACTGTCTCTGTGGAGGACCGTCCATCCATACGAATGGATGACGTGGGCCCTCTGGCAGGAGACGAGGATTATTTTTCAAGGCTGCACCCTTGTACTCACCCCCCCACCCCCACCACCCGCCTCTGCTCCACGATTCAGGAAGGAGGTCTTGCCTTTTTGCCACATCTCCCTTCCCTGCCTCGGACAGCGTTGTCAAAAGGTAGCAAATAAACACACAGCAGCGCCCGGTTCCATTTGAATTTCAGACAAGCAACACATTTTTTAGTATAAGTCCATCCCACGCAGTAGGAGATATACTGACACTAAGAAACGATTCACCATTCACCTGAAATTCGGATTTAACCGGGTGCCCTGGATCGTACCCAGCAGCCCTCGCTTTAGACCCACCGCACCGACAGGGGGTCAAATGGCGAGAGAGTCGCGGGGGCAGGAAGTAGTTCAATTGGATAAGCCTGTCCAGGGGTGAGATCCCAGAAGCAGGATCCAGAAGCCTTCTTCTTTTGGGCTGTTTCCCCACCTGTGAAGGGAGGATCCTTAGGTTATGTCGCTCTTGGGGGTGACGCACCTTACTGAACGGCCCCACCTGGCTTCGGGGGTGCTGCAGGGGGGGTGGCCGGTGGGGGGGGGGCGGGAACTGCTCGACTTTTGGCGTCTTCTCCCCTGGAAATGACAGATGGTCCCCAGCAGCTCCAGGCTTTTCTATCTTCCTGCAGCCTCAGCAGGAATGACAGACGTCCTGTCCCAGCAACAGCTCCTACCAGGGTCCCAGAACCCTTCTGCTGCCCCGAGTTTATTTATTCCCCACCAGATCTCTGCGGCCCGGGGCCCCGGGGGGGCTCGTATTGGCCAGCCCTGACTCACCCTCCCCGACTGTCCTTCAAGAGAAAGGAGCCTCATGGTCTAACACGCTTAGCCTTGGCTTTACCAGTCTGATGGCCGCCGTTCCTTTCTGAGGTTCCGAGTCTTTTTCTGTTATTATTTCTTCAGAGAACCCAACTTTGCCGCCCTTTGGAGGCCAGGATGGCAACACCTTGTCCTGATTTTCCCTCTGTCTGGGCCGGGCCGGGCTGTGTTTCTCCTTCATTCCAGCCTGTCTGCAGAGGAAGGCTGGACTCCACCACTTTCCTCGTCCTCCAGCACCCCAAAATGTGACCGGATTTGAAGATGGGACCTCCTTTAAATGAGATGATGAAGGGGGCACCTGGGTGGCTCGGTCGGTGAAGTGTCTGACTTCGGCTCAGGTCACGATCTCATGGTTCATGCGTTCGAGCCCCCTGTCGGGCTCCGGGCTGACGGCTCGGAGCCTGGAGCCTGCTTCGGATTCTGGGTCTCCCTCTCTCTCTGTCCCTCCCCCACTCACGCTCTGTCTCTCTCTCTCTCAAAAGTAAAGAAACATGTAAAAAATTTAACATAAAAGGTGATTAAGTCATGGTGACCTCATGAGAAGAGAGGAGCAGGACGCACAGGGAGATCTGTCCTTGAGCCGGGGAGAGAGGCCTCCTGAGCGACCCAACCTCGGCCTTCCAGCCTCCAGAATAGAGACAACAAACGAGCGTTCGAGCCTCGCCTCTATAGCATTTTGTCCCTGGGCTCGTAGCAAACCCCTGTCTGTCTCCATGTGGTCTGTTCGTGAAGACACGGTGGGGGGGTTTGAACCCGCCCCCGCCCCGTCTCTCCCAGAGCGAAGTCTCCCCGGGCAGGTTCCCTGCTTCCCCACCACCGGGCTCACGGAAGGCCCTGGAAGGTGTTGTGCTGTGTTGCAGGCAAGAGACAGAGTGCCCCGGGGCTCTGGCTCCGAGGCCTGTCTCCGGGACGTGCCTGCACGGTGAGGGCTGGAGGGACACCCAGGTGAGGCGGGCTCCTTTTTGGCCAGGTGGAGAAGGTAAACTCTATTCCTAGGGCCATGGAGGGTCACAGGGGGTCACCCGGCCCCGGGGATGCAGGTCCCTGGGAAGTGCCATCCGCCGTGGGGTGTAGAACACAATGGGGGACGTCATCGCCGGAGTCCCCCAGGCCACGTGGGTGGGGTGCGGTCTCTGTGGCAGTCAGGGGCTCAGGGACAGCGGGGGGAGAGCAGGGGTCCTGGGAGGAGTCCTCACTGGCCCCAGCTCTGACACCAGCGGCTGACCC